TAGGTACCACCGTGAGGGGAGGGAGGTTGGGGGTGCAAAATGAAGCAATTAAACTTAGAATCAAATTTTTGTAAACAAGAGTTAGTAGCACAGTGGCACAGTAGATTGTCAAGGAAAATGATGGGAATGGGTACAGAGTCACCGGCCTTGCGTGTGTAGTCTTGCCAGCTACAAGGGAGGGACTCTGTCACTCAGGAGTCGACCTTCTTGTTAATTAAAACCGAGCAGCAGGTGAGCAGCCCGTCCACCTTTTCCAGTTCAGATTGGCTCACGGGGATCAGCATATGGTCCTTCAGTTTCTCATAAACCTACAGTGGGAATCCAGGGGAAAGGAAAGAAGGATGATCCATTTCTACCTGTTTTACCACTGGCTGTAAAGAATTAATTCAGTTTATAGGTCTAGGCTTTTCATTCATTTAATCCCCAAGATACACATGCAGTGTAGACCACACATGTGCCCACAGCCATCCCCTCAGAGCTAGGGGCAATTGGTTAACCACTAGCTTTATGCCTTAACCTCAAAGCCAAAGATGTGTCAGAAATATGGTTGTTACTAGAGATGCCTTTACTCTGCCATTGTCATTGCTAGATTAAGTGATACGTGAAAAGTCGGTGGCCATGTGTTCAGTCTGAATATTACTCTCTCTCCACACTTAACAACCTGCTAGACTATACTTTAATGTTTTTTTCCTTACCAACACCACTGGAAAAATTTGACAAAATATAGTTTAAGTGAAGTATTTCAAGTCAAACTGCTTTTAAATTACAGGTGTGAACTTTATAGCATCTTTTGACACTAATAGAAAGCATATGTCAAGAATTCAAATTAACAGGCCATAGATTTTTCTCTGATGATCAAACAAAGCACATTTTTTTAAAACAAAAGCACTTGAAAACACACCACGTAGAGACAATCTACCATGCTTCTTTACGAAGCACTGTGTTCCTTAAAATTCAGTGGTTAATTATGAGTTCTGGAGCCAGAGAGTTGGGTTCCAAACCCAGTTCTGCCAACTTACTAATTAAAGTATGATTTTAAGTGACATCCTCTCTGAGCCTCAGTTTACTTCTCTG